CAAGCAGCCATCAAAGCGCTGAGTTCTTACGTAATCAGCTCAAAAATGGTATGGAGATGCCTAGAACAATTGAATGAGCTAGGCGAGAAAAATAGAGTTACTCTCACTTGGGTCCCGGGACATAACGGGGTATAGGGTAACGAGATTGCAGATAGTCTTGCAAGGAAAGGGGCTCAAACACCCTTTGTAGGACCTGAGCCGTTCTGCGGTATCAGCAGTAACATAATATTAGAAGAGATTAAAAAAGAATTGGGTAGTAGAAGAACCGATAATTGGAACAATCTCTTGGGGCTGAGACAAGCCAAGATACTTCTGGGTGAATATAACCAAAAAAGATCGGAAGCCTGCATCTGCCTGAGCAAGAACAGGCTACGTATTGTAACAGGGATCCTTACCGGGCACTGCCGACTAAAAGGACACCTAAGTAAACTGAGAGTAGTAGAGGATAGTGAGTGCAGATTCTGTGAGGAGGAGGACGAAACCTCCATTCACATCCTAACTGAATGTGCAGCACTCCAGAATCCAAGGGCACTATATCTAGGAGGATATCAAATAGAAGAGGGAGACTTACCTAACTTGAAGCCACTTCAAATCCTACACTTCCTTGAGAAAATAGGATTGGAAGGGTCACTATAGGCATTGAGATATTTCCTTAGTGCAGTGGCGACAGAAGGGGGCACAATAGATGTTTTAGGTCGCAGTGTATTAACACCCCATTATCAACATAACATAACTGTGTCTAAAAAGCGTTAGAATTTCGTGTTTTAGATAGTTATTTGCAAAACAGAAATCTGATTTTGCAAAAATTATCTAAATATTTACTGATTTTATAATATTATAGAACCCTGTCACTATTTTCAAAAGGACTGTGGGCATTAAAAAGTACAAACAAAAAATATATGTCAAAAAAATTTAGTAGCGTAATTTGAAAACTACAAAAAAGTTTGTTCTAATCAAGAAAAAATTGCATTTAAGTGACCTCAGAAGCACTAATGATTTCTAAATATAATTTATATAAAATGAAAGAATCAGAATTATTGAGCGATATTAACTTCAAGAAGATGTTAGTGTCAAAAGTATCCAGGACTAAAACTAAATGCTTGATGTAAAATAACACCAGTGCTATGAAAGACGAAATATATTGGAAATTGTTGAGGTCAAATTATCAAAAAGAAGATATCTGAAATATGAAGGTTGCCTCCTTACCATTGCCAGTATAATGTCATAGAGTTAATTTGGTCATTATGATGTAGATATTTAAAACACCTTCTACTCTGAACGAAATCTTAACAACTCGAAAAACTCCCTAGAAAAAGTAATACAAGTCGTCATACAGAGGATATCTTTGTTTGAAAAGTTTAAAAAGAAAAGTTTAGAGAACATTGAACCAATAATAATCACTTTATCGTCGATTTTGAAGAAGTAAAAGTTAAAGTGGAGGAAGGAGAACATATTTCGGACATAGTAGATGTGAAACTTTTGAAAGTTTACTAATAAAATATCATTTTTACGCTCTAGAATTAATTATTAATTAGGTACCTTATTTAGTGCATTCAAAAAAAAATATGCAACAATAATTATTTGTGTACCAAGGCCGTAAAGTTGATTTTTTTTTGACGAATCAGAAATTTAGGCCGAGGAGTAGCCGAGGCTAGGCAATTTCTCGTTAGCCCAAAAAATATCATACAGCCGAGGTGCACACAATATTTTTTAGGTGACTGCAACCGTCTCATCAAGTAAAACCAATATTTTTTTTACATTCTTGTTTTTAGAAAGAGGCTTAAATGCAAGAATTATTTCAAATTTTTATTGATCGTATAAAAATCCATCGTTATATAATAAAATTTGTATAGATTTACTAACGATAAAGTAAATGCAGCCAAAAAAGTGACACTTTAAACCGACCGTAAAATAAATGCAGCCAAAAAGTGACACTTTAGGGATATTAATAAATCCGTATAATGTAATTTTCGCCTAAAAATGTTTTTTAGGTTTCATATTTTCAATGCTCGAAGCGCCTAATACATTTCAATTTAGCAACGTCAATATAATCCCTCCTACTAAAGTATGAATTCACCTTAAACACTTTGATGTCTAACGTCAACAATAACTATTAAAACAACTGAAATAAGAAAACACGTACAAATAGTAACTTAAAAAAATACGTGTGGCACTCGGGGACTGCCGCGGTAAAGCTATTGCATAGCATTTTTTATCAACTTATGCAATTATAATTATTTATTTATTTTATTTATGCACTATTTTTTTTTCTTTGATATTAATTCAAGTTTTTTCTTTGATATTAATTTAAGTTGCACTTTTTGAGCATGGTGACTAATAAGAAAACAATTTTTTTACTTTTATTGAATAAATGAGAAGTTAATATTGTTTAAAACATTTTTAGTATCTTACAATACATGTAGATTATTCAGGAATTTTTATCATTGAAACTATAAGTTTATGGTAACTGAAATAAGAAACATAAGTTTCAGACTTGATATCCTCTAAATATCTGGAAAATACCGCGTCATGTGGATCATTATTCATTTTCAAATTCAATTTTTCCGAAATTGTGTCTAAAAGAGATAGAATTAGTTAGCAGCTAGTCTACACGCATACATCTAGTCGCACGCACACAAACACCGTGCCGAAGTCTGCCGAACTGAAACGACGTTAGACGATGCACGGCTTTTAACGCCGCACCGCTGGTTTTTCGATTTTTCGAATTTTCGTTTCTTCGTTTTTTTTTTTGATTTTTGGATTTTTCGGTTTTTCGATTTTTCGATTTTTCGATTTTTCGATTTTTCGATTTTTCGATTTTTCGATTTTTCGATTTTTCGATTTTTCGATTTTTCGATTTTTCGATTTTTAGATTTTTAGATTTTTAGATTTTTAGATTTTTAGATTTTTAGATTTTTAGATTTTTAGATTTTTAGATTTTTAGATTTTTAGATTTTTAGATTTTTAGATTTTTAGATTTTTAGATTTTTAGATTTTTAGATTTTTAGATTTTTAGATTTTTCGATTTTTCGATTTTTCGATTTTTCGATTTTTCGATTTTTCGATTTTTCGATTTTTCCATTTTTCCATTTTTCCATTTTTCCATTTTTCCATTTTTCCATTTTTCGATTTTTCGATTTTTCGATTTTTCGATTTTTCGATTTTTCGATTTTTCGATTTTTCGATTTTTCGATTTTTCGATTTTTCGATTTTTCGATTTTTCGATTTTTCGATTTTTCGATTTTTCGATTTTTCGATTTTTCGATTTTTCGATTTTTCGATTTTTCGATTTTTCGATTTTTCGATTTTTCGATTTTTCGATTTTTCGATTTTTCGATTTTTCGATTTTTCGATTTTTCGATTTTTCGATTTTTCGATTTTTCGATTTTTCGATTTTTCGATTTTTCGATTTTTCGATTTTTCGATTTTTCGATTTTTCGATTTTTCGATTTTTCGATTTTTCGATTTTTCGATTTTTCGATTTTTCGATTTTTCGATTTTTCGATTTTTCGATTTTTCGATTTTTCGATTTTTCGATTTTTCGATTTTTCGATTTTTCGATTTTTCGATTTTTCGATTTTTCGATTTTTCGATTTTTCGATTTTTCGATTTTTCGATTTTTCGATTTTTCGATTTTTCGATTTTTCGATTTTTCGATTTTTCGATTTTTCGATTTTTCGATTTTTCGATTTTTCGATTTTTCGATTTTTCGATTTTTCGATTTTTCGATTTTTCGATTTTTCGATTTTTCGATTTTTCGATTTTTCGATTTTTCGATTTTTCGATTTTTCGATTTTTCGATTTTTCGATTTTTCGATTTTTCGATTTTTCGATTTTTCGATTTTTCGATTTTTCGATTTTTCGATTTTTCGATTTTTCGATTTTTCGATTTTTCGATTTTTCGATTTTTCGATTTTTCGATTTTTCGATTTTTCGATTTTTCGATTTTTCGATTTTTCGATTTTTCGATTTTTCGATTTTTCGATTTTTCGATTTTTCGATTTTTCGATTTTTCGATTTTTCGATTTTTCGATTTTTCGATTTTTCGATTTTTCGATTTTTCGATTTTTCGATTTTTCGATTTTTCGATTTTTCGATTTTTCGATTTTTCGATTTTTCGATTTTTCGATTTTTCGATTTTTCGATTTTTCGATTTTTCGATTTTTCGATTTTTCGATTTTTCGATTTTTCGATTTTTCGATTTTTCGATTTTTCGATTTTTCGATTTTTCGATTTTTCGATTTTTCGATTTTTCGATTTTTCGATTTTTCGATTTTTCGATTTTTCGATTTTTCGATTTTTCGATTTTTCGATTTTTCGATTTTTCGATTTTTCGATTTTTCGATTTTTCGATTTTTCGATTTTTCGATTTTTCGATTTTTCGATTTTTCGATTTTTCGATTTTTCGATTTTTCGATTTTTCGATTTTTCGATTTTTCGATTTTTCGATTTTTCGATTTTTCGATTTTTCGATTTTTCGATTTTTCGATTTTCTTTTAATGAATAAGATAATATTGTTTAACGCCGCACCGCTGTGCCGGTCGGAGTGGGTTAGGTTTTTTTCGTTACGCGTTACGGAATTTCTTGATTCGGTCGCCGCGCTCAAAGCCCGTGATAAAAGCTATGCAATAGCTTAAAAAATAATATACAGGGTCCTCAGTTCCTAGTCTAATAATTAAAGACTATACCAACGACGACAAACTACAAGAATAGTCCATTCATTTAGCCCTTATTTATTGCAAGTATTCAGATTGGGATTTATATTGGGCAGACGGAGCTGTCGTATCGGCTGCTGCATTAAAATAAGCGAGACGGCTACTAAATTGTGTGGAGATTTTTGTTACGAGCTTCGTCGTTGGGCTAAGGTATATTACCCGTTCTTAAATTTCCGTAGATACATTTATTTATTTGTAAATTTACAAAATGTACTGACAATTTTAGGCTATTGAAATTACACAAAACACAAATGTATGTATAAAAATTAAATAATTTTTGTCTAGGCCCAATCAGATATAGAATGGAAATTCGGTTTGAGTAAACTCATCAGATCAATGCACAGGACGACAACAGCTCCATCTCCAATCAATTTGATAACGACGTGGTTGTTTTATTTAGGGGATATTTGCAAAAAGAGAGGTAAGCTTTATCGCATAGTTCCATTAATCCATTATTATGCTAAAGTAGTATTAGTATTAAATAAGTAGTTTTTCCCAGAAGAAAAAAGTAACGGCGTAATAGGGTGATGGAAAATTAAAAAAATTACCGATTTTCTTATAAATAATTATAATTTTTATTTTGTAAATTTGTTATAACAAGATTTAAACCAGTCAGTAAAGACATCCTATTTTGTACATTTCACATTAATTACAAAAGTTTTCAAACTTTGTAATAATAATTGGCTAGTTTAAATAACACTAAGTTTAAATTTGCAACCATTTCTAAGGTTCGGAACTAGTTAATTTATACCAAAATGGCGCTTTTGTTTATAATGTTGAGAAAAAAATTGCAAAATGCTGCAAACTTGAAACAATATATATTGTATTATTTTCAACTTTATATTAGATTTGCAACTTTTTTGAAAGTCCGGAACATATTTTTTTGTAAAATTGCGTTTTAGTTTATATCATAGACAACAAAATTGCAAAAGTGCTGCAAACCGATGACATAACACATACAAGTTTTTAGAACAGCTGTTCCAATTTGCAATCTTTTATTTAGCCCGGAAATATTTTTTTTTTGTAAAAACATTAAAATAATTTTTTATTTTTCTCTAATTTTGTCAAAAAAAAATGCAAAAGTTTTGAAAATTGGCTGCAAATGTTAATATTATTTTTTCTAACAATCTGGTAAATTTGCAACCTCGGACAAGGTCCGGAACCTTGAAAAATTAACAAAAATCAACAATTCGCACATTTTGCAGTTGCCAAAAAATTTGTTAAGTATTGCAAATTTTACAGAACGATTTTTTATGCCTTCCTATAAATAAATGCAAATTTTCAACGTTCCAAGATTAATGCAAAGATTGTAAATTGTCTATGACCAATATTTCATTGCCAAATTAATAGAAAAGTGCCTAGCGGAACAAAAAAATATTCATAAACAATATGGAATTTGCAACCTTATACACATCAAGCAAAATATTTAAATAGTTTCTTGTTTTCGTTTTTTATCGAGTTAACAAAGAATATTTATATTTACCCCATATTAAGTAATTGGCAGGGGACACAAGGGCAATGAAGAGGCTGATTTACTAGCCCGAGAAGGAGCCTCAAATGCTCTTATTGGCCCAGAATACTTCTGTGGTGTAACAAAAACAACTATCAGAACATGCACAAAGCAGTGGATGTTTAAAAAATCTCAGGAGTGGTGGAAAAACTCACCAGGACAGAGACAGGCCAAAAAGTTCTTAAAAGGACCATCGTCTAAACTCACCAAGCATCTACTAAGCCTCAATAGGAAAAATACTAGAGTACTAGTAGGTCTATTAACAGGGCATTGTAGGCTTAACAAACATATGTACAATATCGGTCTGACAGAAGAGGCCTTGTGCCGATTCTGTCAAGAAGAGGAAGAAACGGTAGAACACGTATTGTGCTACTGCGAGGGTCTAGCAAGACTGAGATTCCTTACACTTGGAGAAGAAAAAGCAAGGGCAACTAGCTATACCGGAGAACTACTTCCCAGTCTATGGAGTCTACTACAAAAAACCGAATTAGACAAGGTACTCTAAACAATGATTAAAGGATATCCACAATAGATCTGAAAAGGTCGAGGTGGGGGAGGGCCACATGGCCCATAGTCCTAATTAAATCTTAAATCTTAAAGTAATTGGCCGACACGGTATAAACATAGAAAAGAAAACAATCAATATCGTAAATCGAGCCAAGAATAAGAAATTAACCCAATACCGTTGTAAATAGGCCATTTAGATAATACCTAAGGGTTTATTTTGGGTTATATCGAACCGTCGCGTCAGCGTCGGTCGATTGCAGTTTTGAAATATAGTTTATTTTTCAAGAAAACGTCGCTATGATATAACTACCAATTGAACTGGACGAGTGTAATTCACTGATTCGTAAAAAAACCAAAAACAACCTGAGTGGATTTGAGTGAAATATTTTTATGAAAACGGAAAATCAAATTAGTCGTTATAAAAGCATCCAGTGTACAACTCGAATGGATTAGTTTTGTTCCCAAAGTAATGGATTCGGAGCACCGTTATAAACTTACTTTGATTGCCCGATTGACGACACATTATCCGATAACGAATACCAAGATCCAGACTTCCCACATATCCAATTTTAAGAATCAATGAATTTAGAAGAAATTAGTTTTGAGATAGCTAATGTTTTTGACAATCCTGGACCATCCGGTTGCAGAAACCAAAGCTCTCATAATTTAAATCATATTTTGTTATTGTAAATTTATTTCATTAAAACATCAGTTTCATAATACCTTAATTTGTACATTATTTCCTTTCAATTTTATTTTTCAATTTTATGAAAATCAAAAAAATATTTCAATTTTGTTTGAAGTAGAACCAACTGTCTCAAAGTTTCAAATGATGTATTTCTTTGGTGACAAAATAACGTTTTCCATTTCCTTGTTTTATCAATAAATATTCTGCATCGAGGGCTGTCTTTTAAGTTTTGCATACCGTGCATTAGAGGGCATTACGAATCAAACGACTCTAATAAAAATAAACTGTCGCCTTTAGTTAACCTCACTTCCAAGTTCAAGTCCGATTTCTTGAGTGTTGTAGTTACACCGAATTTTCAAAGTTGACAAGTTATTCAAGAAATGGATTTAAACCGAGAACATTTTCGTGCCATAATTTTTTACAACTTTCGAAGACAATTATCTCAACAAGAATGCCGACAATTTCTCGTTGGTATGGAGAATTTTCACGAGGACGGGTTAATCTTAGTGACGAACCTAAATTGGTGGTCACCCAGGAAACCATTGATGCTGTACGCAGGCTCATCGAGGAAGATCGGCATGTGACATATCGCGAGATTGAAGCATCGTTAGAGATTTCACAGACCTCAATCTAAAAGATTTTGCATGCAGAATTGGGAGTAAAAAAATTAGTTAGTTACTTATAAGATTCTCGACGCGTGACGTCACCGTCAAAAATTGGCAGAATGAACCTTAGTGATTTCCCATGTTAATTTACATAAGGAATAGCCCTGAACTCTTATAGCCCCTTTACTCATATTTGTGTTTTGATCCGAGTTGTTTTTTTTTTTTCAATATCAGAAACAAATATCTGTATATAGTTCTGTCTAGAGTGAACAGCCCTGATATTTGCCTAAATACTATTTTTTTTACCAATATATGTCTGATAACCGATAACTGCAAACAAGAAAAGTTTCTTACTAAAATGTATGTACGTTAACATATACGTTAATATATAACAACTATATAACAATAATATAACAACTATATAAGGTATTTTCTTAGTTTAACCTCGAAAATACCTGTTAGGGTCGATGCTCACGAACGTTTTTTAGCAGTCGCGTTAACGTCACGTTGCCGCAAACGCAAGGCAGAGTAAATTCGTCTTAAGAACAGAAAAGATGGATGTAAGGTTGAAAAAAGTAGTGATATTTGTACCTATATCTTGTTTACAGTTTGTGAGGAAGAAGAGGTATATCCTTACTTTAGTTCCCGTTTACTAAAGGTTAAAAGGTGCTTTCATATTAAGCTTTTTGACTCAAGAAATAATGATGAATATATTTTTTTAATTATGTTTTTATGATTATATGCTCATTGATGAACTGAATTTAATGTTTAAATTAAACAAGATAATTTAGGAATGTTCCTTTATTTCTTTTAGAATAATTCTGTGTCGAATTGCTCATCGCCCATAGCTACTTCGTTTTTTTTACCACCTTTCGTGAATAATTTTTGATACAAACTAATATATATTTGCAACGCCAATGTACCGCTGAGACGTGGCGTCGAGAAGGTACCCTCTGACTTGAGTGAATGTATTTCGACGCCACCGATTGTTGCGTCGACGCGACTGGAACAAACGTTCGCGAGCACTAACCCTTAAAATGCGGATGTTGCTCGTGATGTTGTTTCATCTTGTAAATCTGAACCATTTATCACGATATCTGCATTAAATATGTTAAAATACTCGATAGGCATTTCTTACTAAAGTTACGTTAAGAAATATTTTATTAAACTCGGATTCCATGATGCGTCATTTATAAAAGTATTTAAAATACCTATGTCGTTGAGACATAAAAATATACTTCCGATTCTGACACCGTGGTATCAACATCGAAATGGCGGTCTCAGAATTGGAAGTCAAGTTTGTATGTTTCCGATAAAATCTTTAATAAAATCGGTAATCGAAAAGTGAATATTGTCTTATGTGTTTAGTATTTGTGCGTCAAAATTTTTTGAATTTGTATGTAAATGAAATATAAGTGAATATAGCTAGTAAATTAAATTAATATGATAGAGAACACGTTCTCAAGTTTATGGTCCAATTAGTTAGAATATCAGCTCCTGATGTTTTAAATTAGTATAATCAATGGAAAAGAGTGAACATGGATTTTTCAATGGGAAGATGGAAAATTCCAGACATCCTCTGATGAATATTCCCATAATATAAGCTAAATTACCTGCTAAATACCTTAAGGGTGGAGGCTAAAAAACTAACAGAAGAAGACATAAAAATATTTGGTTCATCTACATTGGCCTGGTGTAACTACTTGTTTTTCAGATGAAATTTTGAATTAGTGGGTCAAGATCGAACTTTTAGTTAAACCTTAGGGACATTTATCTGTCCTTATTTAAAAATGTAACTATAAATTTTGGGTTTTTGTTTATAGTTGTAATAAAATCCTATTTTCAAGGTCATGCATGCAATCGTTAAAATAATGATTAATATTATTTTATTCTCGGAATTAGTTTTATATTTATACTCCACCTTCAGTTATAACTTTTATATATCCGCACTTCTAATACCCCGCATACATCTTTATATTGTAAATTGTTTTTTTAGGTTTTATATTAAAGATTTTTAAAGATAAAATTGAATTTCGCAATGGTGCGAATTCTTGATTTTTGTTAATTTTTCAAGGTTCCGGACTTTATCCGAAGTTGCAAATTTACTAGATTGTTAAGAAAAATTAAATTAGAGGAAAATAAAAAATTATGTTGACATAGGGCGCGGCCATTTTGAACCCTATGCCACAGTTTATAGCTAAAGAATCAGATCGCTCACTCTGCGTCGGCACTTTTTATCTCAATGTTCCAGTTTATACACTGCGCAACTTGGATAATACAATATATGACAACCGCCTATAATAAAACAGCAGTCTTCTGCGTATCCTGAATTTGTATCCCTGGAGTGCATGTTATTTTGGAACTTTCAACTGGTCCGGGTGAGCTAACTGATTCTTTAGCAATAAAATGTGACTCCAAAAATAATATTCACTGACACTGACAGCAGCAAGCAAAATGTCAGGTGCGTTTTAATCATCCGCTTCTGCTTCCGGAATTGTCGGTTCAGTCGTTCTAACCTGTCAGATTAAAACAAGAAAACCGACAATTCCGAAGCAGAAGCGGATGATTAAAACACACCTATTAAAAATATTCCGCCAAGATGTAGGCAACACGTAATAAGGGTTCAAAATGGCGGAGTTTTCTATCTCCTTTTAAAAGGCACTCGGAAAGCTGCGCAGTGCGACCATTCTCCGTATAGTAAAAGAAAATCAAAGTATGTGGAGTTATGTCATTGCTTTGCAGCACTTTTTCAATTTTTCTGTCTATGATATAAACAAAAACACAATTTTACCAAAAAAAATCTTGTTCCGGACTCTCAAAAAAGTTACAAATCTGATATAATGTCGAAAATAATACAGTATATATTGCTTCAAATTTGCAGCACTTTTGCAATTTTTTTTTAAGAAAGTTCTAATAACTTTTAATTTTTTTGGAATTATTAATAAGTTCCGGACAGTGTTGCCAGAATGTATTTTTGTTATGTACCAGATTTGTCAAAAAAATGTACCAGATTCTAAAAAAAGGTACCAGATTCTATTATATGTACCAGTCAGGGCCGCCGAGAGCCAGGCCGGGCCCCAGGACAAATTTTTCCTCCTCTACTTAAATTACGTTTCCTAAAAAAATGTCGAACTTCTGAAAGAAAACAGAAAACCTTGCCGCGATTGCCGGGCCCCCTAATACCATTGCCGAGCCCTCATTTGAGTCCGGGCCCCGGGAATTAGTCCCGGCTACCCCCCCCCCCCCTCCAGTCGGCCCTGTGTACCAGATTTTTCAAATTGTGTAGTGTGGTCATTAAAGAGCAAAAAAAGAACACGAACACAACAAACAAGGAAGACTCCAACATTCCAAACAAAATGGCTGCCAGTGAATTTTGACAGGTTATGATTTCGTTATGATACAATGAACTGGAGTGGGGTAGAATGCTTGTCAATAGGCTTCAAATGCGACTCTATGGGCGAAGACAGGTTATTTTTCATCTCACTCGGGAGTATTTATAACAACCATTTTCTATTTTACTTTGTTATTGTCTGATCCACCAGCTTGTGGATTGAACAATAACAATGTGAAACAGAAAATGGTTATTATAAATACTCCCGAATGAGATGAGAAATAAAAATGACTGCGCCCATAGAGTCGCATCTTGTTCTATGGATATAATATGTACATTGGCTTTCTACCCCACTCCAGTTCATTGTTATAATATGGCAACCTTGTGATAAATTGATAGGGTCAGTGATATAGATAGTTATATGGACTGATAATCCATGTTTTTCAAAATAAACAAAAGCTTATGCCTTAAAGAAAAAATGTGTGTAATTATTTTTTTTACTATATTCAATGGCTGAAAATTGGTTTTAAAACAAATTTTTGCTAAACTGATTCTGATCAATGAGCACTTGCGAGACAATATGACCGCTCGCAAAACGACCCTCTTTTAGCAATATATACAACTATATATGTATTATTGACCCTGTCAATGACAGCAGGCCACAGGGTTGCCATTTTTAAACTGTCAGTCTCCAGTCTCCACTTGTTAGCAGGTCGTTGGAATGCCTAATATTTTTATGTCAAACGGAAGCATACGCTGAAAAAGAAAACGTACTAGATTTTGTTTTGAGTGTACTAGAGTACCAGATTCCAAGAAATTGTACTAGATCTGGTTCAATTGTATTAGACTGGCAACACAAAATTAAATTTACAATTATTTCAATTTAATAAATATTGCAACAAAGTTTGAAAACTTTTGTAATTAATGTGAATTGATTATCTCTAATGACTTGCCTAATTACGCAGTTCAAACTGAAATCATTTATGAAGCTTAACTATTATTTTGTTGATTTATAAGTTATAACTTTATTTCAAAATTTCGTACTTATTATCAAAATACCTCTTCCATCAAATTTTTTTTATGAAATGCAAGAAAGATCAGCAAGAATTAAAAGCATTTGTATTTTATTTTATAGAGAAATTTTAGTATTAATAATTCCATATTTTAATAAAACTTATTTCAAAACAATATCATAAAAATATTGAGTTAACAAAAAAAATAAATGATTATATTATTTTTTTTATTTAAATTGTTTTAAATAAAATTGCCAAAATCTTGGTTAACAATTTTACAATTCAATGTTTTATGTTTGACGTACCTGTTTATTATTTTCACTGCTATTTTCATATACATTCATGTAGTAGTTCTATAATAACAACTTGGAAAATAGACTTTATTCCAGTGAAAACGAGAAAGCGCCAAAGTCTCGTCCACCTCATGGGCACCTTCCAGCGAAGCAACCAACTCAGCCCGCGGTCCAAAGCCGGGCAAAAATGGCTGTCCAAAGTCAAAAAGGGCAGACAGATTGCGCCAAAGGAGTCCGTAGCTCTGTCTGTGGCTCACATGAGTCCGCTTGGCTCTCAGTTGAGCTTCTCCATGCAAACTACTCGTATAGAACACGTGACTGACTGGGAAGCCATTGCTAAGAAGTATAGGGCACTGATGGGGCAGGTTGACGAAACCAAGGAGCAGACAAATGAAGATGAGGCAGATGATGAAGAGGACAATGCTAATGCTAATGCTGTACCAGTACAAAATTCATTCGGTTGAAATGAAATTAGTAAATTTCAGTTTCAATAAAATTTCAATATGTAGTGTTTTGATATTAACGTGTTTTATTTGGTAACCAATGACACTAAATTTCGTTTTTTTTTTTTAATGTTAAAATAAATAATACTTTTGTTTTGGTATTACTAGGAAATTTTTTTAATATTACCTAAATAATGTATGTACAATTTGTGTAATAAAAATATTTTATATACATAGATGTAGGAGTAAAATTTGTACTTCTAATTTAATATGAATGTGAAAAATAAATATTATAAAATCGTTTTTGTGTTTTATTAAAAAATATACTGATCAAATTTTTTATTGAATCCGAAAAATACAAGATGTACAGATTCAGTCTCTTATAAGTAGTTATTTGAAGTGAAACATTAACAATCAAACATTGGGAAGACGTATGACTTAAAAATATACATTAAAAGTTACAATTCTAATGTATGTATAGATATAACGCGCCGAGCTTGGGCCGTTCCTGGATCGTGCCTGGGCCAACAACGGGCCCAGGTTATTCAGATTTGTATGGTGTTATGGACACAGCATAATAAACAATCGGCAGGCTAACTTGTCTTGGCGGCAACGCTACGCGCACACCGCCATTTTGGGGTCCAACCTCTCAATCAAACCGTGGCGTCACTGTCGTCGTTTATATCGACAAAAACAAACAAGTTGCAGTAGCACGGAATCAGTAGCGTGTATCTTAAATTTATTTTGTTTGTGATGTTTGTATTATGTAGTTACTGTTATTTTTTTAGAATTATAGATATTTTTTGACACTTTTTATATAGTAGTTGTTTTCCAGTGTTAATTTGTTAACTTTTAAGTGTTTTACTATGTCTGGGCAAAGTTGTGCAACAAAAAACTATATGAATAAACTGTATTAAAAGATTTTTTCGGTTTCTTAAAGATCTTATTATGGTATACTTTTAAAAAAATCCTAGTTTATGAGTCAGTTTGTCAGTTATAAAGCTATTAGTAAGATGTAGGTAGGTGCCTAGTTAACGTCACGTAAAGTTTAGCGTCAATTTTTATTTACTTATGTAGGTATATTATTAAGATTTAAAGTAAAATGTTATATTTTAAACATCTCCCGTATGGAGTTGACAAAATTGAAAAATCTTTATTTTTATTTTAAGGAAAAAGTAATTATAAAAAAATTCTGTTTGACGAAAAAATAGGTTTACTATATTAATATGTTAGGTCAGGTGTACATGGTCTTAATAAATGAAGAAACTTAAAATTGACAAAAGGAAAAAAACTGTATTACCTTATTGATTTTACGAAGAAAAGTCACAGTTTTCCTTTCGGTTTTCCTTCATAACTTTAAAAGGAAACTTTTTCTTGTAATTTTCTTCAACAAGCAGAATTTTTTGTAAGGAATAATTTTTTTTTTCTGAAACAAAAAATGAATATTAATCGTAATTGTGTTATTCCCAAATATTGAAATGCTTAACAAAAATTTAATTCTGATATTGATTTTGATAATTATTCTAGATATGCGAATAACAAAGCTTTGTAATCTTGATAAATCTAAAGTATTTTCATTACAAAAAGCAAGAAAATCTTAATTAGCCATTAAAGAAATTATAAGTAGTAAATTAGTAATGAGTCACAATCAAAATCATGTGTTTTAAGCAGTGCTATTAAAAATGTAAAATTCTTATATTTTGTCGAAGTAAATTCAAAAGCCCGCCAATTTTCAAGCTAAAATAGCATTACATCTTTCTATATTACCGACTGAGTATTAAATGCACAAAACTATTCCATATGTCGCTGAAGGTAAATATGCTGCCAAATTTCTGTGAGGAATCTGCAACTCTTAATTATCCTTCCTCCATGATGATAACTGTGTAAACCCTACATCGGTCCAAATTCAAAGGACGTTCAAAAAATTGCAATGATTAAATTTATTACATTCTGGAACTGAAAACTGCGAAACAGGTGGGGATGCTTTACTTGTAAGGCGCCTACATGAAATTCGTAGGACTAGTAAGGATGAGCCATTTTCCAAAATCGCGTGTAATGGTGGCAATATTGTCGAAAATGTAAATATAAACAAGCATATTAATGAATTACATGCACAAAATATTAATATTTTTTAAGAAAATTTTATTATATATGCGGATTTTTAATAAAAAAAATGTCTTAAAATTCAACATTGCGATGTATGTACACAATATGCCTTAACACACGAAGACTTGGATATAAGCTCCATGTATTGTTATTATAAAGCATACAAAAAAAGCAAATAAAGATATTTTTGGCAATTTAAAAATGTCAAATAATAGTTTTGTATGTTTAATAACAAAAATTGAAATAATTTTTCATCGCAATTTTGAATTATTTATCACTAAATCCGGCGTTTGTAATTTTTTTTTTAGATTTAATTAATTCCGAGATGACATTTGACGCTCCTTGTCCCCGATTTCCATAAATATATGTTATTAAGGGTCGATTCCACCGTTGTGTTAAACGGAGATTAAAGTGACATTGTTAATGTAAAAATGTAATTTTAAATTTCGTTTAACACAACGGTGGAATCGGTCCTAAGTTATATTTAAGGCTGCTCATATATTTCACTTTAAAAATATTAATAGAAATTTTAAGACCATCAATAAAAACAAGCTAATTATTTGGCGCAATCTGTGAAGCTTTTTTGTTTTAATACGATCCTGCCTATCAATACCTTATTTTATTACAAAATCTTTAAATACGCTTTAATCCGACCCTGACTAAGACCCCCGAATGGCGTCCTCAAGGTCAAATTTTCTTAGTATAATATTTGTATGCGATCAGCGGAGAGTGAGCCTGCCGATTGTTTTTTATGCCGTGTTATGGATCTACTATGAAGACTAGAGATAAGAAGGCGAATCAGCAATGATCAAATTTCTGTCCTTTTTATAAAGTTGACTATAGTTGGCAGGTCGAACGACACTGCTGTTCATTTTCTATATAAGTCAATGTAAAATGAAGTAATTTTTTAAAAAATTTGTGGAAAGAATCAAAGTAGTTTGTAAAAAGTACCTAAGTATAAGTAATATGAGTGACAAAAAACATTTAAGCAACATTTACTTCGTTCCAGATTGTAAAACCGGATACAAATCAGATGTAAAACTAAAGAAAACACAAGAAGAAATCAATTCAATGTCTTTTTAAAGCTTTTAGTATAAGTAAAATAATGTATTCATGTCTAAATATAATATTTATTGTAAACTAGTCACAATATGTATCTTACGAAGTGTAGTTTATTTTATTACAAGTTTCTATAATATAAAATTTTACAGTTATAGATCCTATCTTAGAAACAACAATAATTATGTATTAAATTTAACTTACTAGAAAAGAAAATTAATTTTTTATAGAGTTTAAATGTTAGATAAAGAGTTGCTACTGTTATTTTTTTTTTACCCCAATTATGTCATTGTAAATGTTTTTTATAGGATACTAAACGTTTAGAACAGTGGTAGCATATATATCGTTCCTAGTGCCGATAAAGCACTTTCTAGAGATGAAACTGTTCTATACTTTTTACAAGATATCAAATATAATGAGACTATTTTTACTGATGGTACTGTTAGCAAAATAAAAAGGGGAAAGCTGAAATTAAAGGATGAGGTAATAACAGGTACATTCCCAAATCTCCCTTTATACTTGTATTACAACAATAAAAAATCTGTTAACTGTGTTTTATTTTACTCTTAAAACTATATATTGGTTCAATTCAAAAAAAAATTTGCCACAAAATTATACTTATCAAATTTCAGCAATTAAGAAACCTATTCAAATTGGTCATACATACCTAATTTGTATTTTATATAGATAAAATTAAATAATTTATCAATTAAAACATGCAGGACTTATTTAGAAATAAATACACCAGTATGTTCTCTGCTTTATTTAGCTATAAACAAGTTTATTTTTATTATTTTGACAAACTTATGTATAATTCCCATAAGAAGCCATGTATTTTGAACAGCGTATGTAGTACCAGCGCCCATGCGATTAATTATAGAAGCTCAATTAGCATGCGTTTTTGGGACCGTATTTTGAGTATGCTGATTCGTCTCCTTATCTCTAGTCTTCATAGTTTAAAGCACATACTTTGATTACTATACGATGCAAGAGAGAGATCCGACACGCCCAACATAGGGCGCGACCATTTTGATGCCTTTACCACAGTTTATAGCTAAAGAATCAGTTCGCTCACTCTGCGTCAGCACTTTTGATCTCAATGTTCCAGTTTATACACTGCGCAACTCGGATAATACAATACATGACAACTGCCTATAATAAAACAGCAGTCTTCTGCGCATCCTGAATTTGTATCCCTGGAGTGGATGTTATTTTGGAATATTCAACTGGTCCGAGTGAGCTAACTGATTCTTTAGCAATAAACTGTGGCTTTACTACTAGGTTAGGCAACACATATATTTCCTAAATGTTAAACTGGTAGTCTATACATCCCGGTATTTAGACAATGAAAAGAGAACAACAAAGCACTAAAAATTAACAAACAATCACCAATTAATTAAAAATAATTGTGTAAATCATGTCTAAAACACAAAATGATATATTAATTCTCAAAACTTGCTCACTGACACTGACAGCAGCAAGCAAAATATTAAAAATATTTCGCCAAGATGTAGGCAACACGTAATAAGGCATCAAAATGGCGGATTTTTCTATCTCCTTTCAAAAGGCACTCATAAAGCTGCGCAGTGCGACCATTATTCTCCGAAAATCAAAGTATGTGGTTCGGACCTCTCTCTTGCACCGTATAGTAATCAAAGTATATGTCAACGATAAATCGATAAATTTGGCTTCCTAAATCACCTACTTTCTGACATGGAACGAACATCTCATTTCAAATCGAGATGTAAAAAATGTAATCTGGACAGCTATATCTCGGATAAACAAACGAAGATGTAGTAGATGTAAGTGGATGTATCCGATGTGGATAAACAAACGCTTGAGATGTAAAAAATGCATCGGATGTGGATATTTCACCGAACTCTATAGGTTCTTTCGTTCGCTATTGGTGAAGTGTACACCAGTGTAAATTACACCAGTTACACCACCTTATTTACCCTAATTTACATCCTTCTTATTCCTTATACACATCGTCGAGTGTAATTTACTCCTGTTAAATAGCTGGTGGAGAAAATATCCACCAGTGGACACCACATCGCCGACAGGAAGGTATAGTGGGTTTTACACCGGGTCAAACGAAAGGTTTAGTGTACGTTGGTGTAGTTCATTCCTACACCAATGGGACGAACGAAAGAACCTTATATTTACAGTTCAGTGGGATATTCACGCGGCAAATAAAGTTGAACTACTTGGAATAGTTGGAACATACTTAAAGTATAGGAACATAGCCCACCTATCCAATTTAGACAGATGTCAATTGTCATTCCAATTGTCAAAAAGGTAAAACGAGGCGATTGTCAGCCATTTATTATCATTTTTGAGATACAATTAAACAACTATTTATACCGGAAAATTATAAATAAAAGAATATTCGGATTGGTTTAAAGTTAAAATTAACAGCCATGGAAAACATTCCACGCACACACGAAGGTAACTATACAATACCAATCAACATATTTGATATTTACATACCAAACATTTTAGATATTGAGGCACAAATACGGGAAATACAATCTAAGAAAAAAGAGGTCCCAGCTGATATATCTCCGGATAAGGTAGCAAAATTAGGCGAAGGTGGTTTTTTCGATAACGAGATTTATGAAGGCAAAGGAAAATATGAAGGGTATGTAACATCTATTGCTGCTAATGACGAAGTGGATGATGATGAAGAGGATGTTGGATTTTCTCATAAAAGAACAGGTTTAGGAGCACCTGTAGCTCTTTTAAATGATGTTGCTCAGGTAAGTCCAATATTCAAGTAACTTGTATCAGTGTTATTGATTTACATGATCATTCTTTTTAGAGCGATAAAGATTATGATCCATTTGCTGACCGTAGAAGAGCAACCATTGCAGATAGAGAAGATGAGTACAGACAGAGGAGGAGAAGGATGATCATATCTCCTGAAAGAGTGGATCCTTTTGCAGATGGTATGTATTTTGTAAAAAGAAATGTTTTTAATTTTTATTTCCTCTTACAATAATGTTATTCCCACACGATGATATCTTATTAGGAAACTTTCAATTATTTTAATTATATTGGCTTCATTTTTGAAGTAAACCATGAATATAAAATAAATTTTCTAATTTCTGTTAAATTTTACAAATAAGTATTTTGGAAAGTTAAATTGAGGATTAATTAAATTTTATTATTAAATAAATGGATTCAGGTGTGTATAAATCAGCCCAATGAATGCGATTCGGCAATGGATACTGAATGTTCAAAGACTCTTGAAGAACTGTCCTTATTGCATTTACTGTCTGTAGCAAAAGTTCATTAGACTCGAAACCACAAATATAGATGCATGATTGGATGATGAAGTTATTATTGCTTGTGCTGCATTTACACTTCTCAATAAAGAAGTAACAAAACAAAAACAAAGCCAAGCGAAAATGGTAGGAAAAAAATGTATAGTGGAAGCCAACTGATGCTCAAATTACAAGTGGAAAATGCATATGGCTTGTTTAACAATTTTTGTAGAATATCTGCAAAATAATTTGAGTGGTTGTTAAATGCTATTGGACCTAAAATTAGTGAACAAAATAAGAATTATTGTAAGGCTTGTCCATCGAATGAGCGATTGGCCAACACTCTAAGGGTTTTAGCATCTGAAAACTCATACATCAGTCTTTCATATCTTTTTAAAACAGGTGAGTGCTACAATCTTTTCCGAAATATTCTAAATAAAATCTAAATTCAAAAAAAAAAGTGCATCCACTAGACCAGAGTATAGGGTTGCCACCTTTTTGAAAAGTGAATAAAGGACTATGATGCTGACAGGGGCTCCGGTATACAAAACGTCCTCATCCTTCTACTGAACTTCAAAAAAAAAGTCGCTAGGCTTGAACAAAAAAAAATCCTCATCATTCTATACCGAGCTTCTAAAAAAAAAGTAGTCTTCAGCTTATACAAACCATGTCCCTTCCAAAGATATATGCTGTAAAAAAAGACATTTGCAGTCAAAAAATTACATTTCAAGCTTATTTTATTTATTTATTCCAAGTAAGAAAATACAAATGCAAATGAGAAACATCACAATATTAATAATCACAGTGTACATGTAAGTGAGCTCGAGCTTGCACTATATGAGCTCTCCAGGCCAACATAAATTATTTAGAAATATAGAAAACAACAAAAATAGAATTATAAAAAACATTATTAACATGTAGGAAGAAGAAGAATTACATGATATCTAAAAGAACTAAGTTCTTAAGAATTTAACTTTAAACATTTAATAATTAATTAATTAACCTTGAAGAAACCTGCAAATATTAATTTCTTTAATTGTGTCACAAAGGAAGTTGTTTGTAGACCTCGAGTTCTTTCTGGAATCTTGTTATACATATTGATACCATTACTTATTAGGCTTTAAAAAGTGACAAGGACATTTTGCTACAAAAAAGGACAGACGGCTACCCTACCAGAGTGTCAAACTAAATGCATATTTAATAACTCATTCATCTGTTGGCTGATACCGTCCACACTGCATTCGTTGATTCCCTCCACTTGTTTTGTTATTACTGACACTACAGGTTGCGAGCCAAGGCCAACTAATCTTAACTGAACAAAAATTCTTGGAACAAACCCATTTGTTCACATTCATTGGCCTGGTCTGTATGCACTTTTCCAAAGATACAGATTTTTCATAACATTTTGCTTTTACAGAGCTAAAAATACATATTTATGTAATTAAAATAAATGTTTTTATTTTATACATTATCTATTAAAAGTGATTATTTTCAAATTAACTTTCTAAAACAGGAATATGCTTTTGGGGTATATGAATGTCTGGGTGAACTGGAGTGTATGAATGTGAAAAAGATAATAAAATTATTATTAAAACCAAAACTGCAGTACCAAAAAAACTAATCTAATGATTTTGTTCTTTGGAAAAAGTCATCATTTAGGTTTGAAGAGAAACATTAACGCACGACAGAGGAACGACAAGTACACGAGTATTGGTAAAAAATGATTATTAAAAAAGTAAAGTAAATTTACTGTGTGAAAGAATGTATGCAAAGTTTAGAAAATTATTAATTACCCCAGCCTATTTCTAGGTACGATAGACCAGTTGTTTTTCAAGAAACTACCAGTTTTTGTTGTGATGGGCTCTCCAGACACGTACGTATTCAGATTTGTTTGCCAACTTCTCTCATTAAGCAACAATTTTTAGTTTATAAAAATGTGACAGAAAATAAACTAATATTTATAAAATTAACATTATTAGATGATAATAATTTTAACTAAAATTAAAAACCTACCTTGGTATGTCAATCTTAAGTGTTATTCTCCTCCCCATTAACCTAATTTATTCTAAAATGATCCAGAAATTGCTGAAACTTGGTTAATTTCCTAGGAAGGGCATTTTTGTTATTACAATATTATTATTTCAACCCTTTTGGCAGGCTAGCTACTGCCATATTGATTAATTTTAATTTGCTTGGTTATCTAGTGAAGACTCATTTGAAATAGTTTTATTTTTTATTTAATAAAGATATATTTAATTTTTTGTTTATTCCCTCTACAGGCCAATGGCTTAGGCTATAAGCTATTTACATTTTTAAGTGCATTGTGTACATAATTTAAATTTCTCCATCTTTTTTGAAGCGCCTTTTTGATAACTCCTTTCCATTCTCTTCTATGGAGATGTTTGGGTATTCAAGTTGAGACTGAAAGGGAGAATAGGTAGAGTTTCATTGTTTTCTTTTTAACAGACTTCAAAAAAAAAGGAGGAGGTTCTCAATTCGTCACAATATATTTTTTTTATGTATGTTCAGCGATAATTCTTTAACACGGTGTCCGATTTCAATGATTCATTTTTTGTTAGAAAGGGGGTACTTCAGAGGTGGTCCCATATAAATTTGGTCAAAATCTAATAATTGGGTCCATGAGAAAATCCTCAAACTCTTCATTTTTTATGTATGTTTAGCGATAATGCTTTACCACCTTGTCCGATTTATATGATTCTTTTTTGTTAGTAAGGGGGTAGCTCAGGGGTGGTCCAATATAAATTTGGTTAAGATGTGGTGATGGCATCTGCACGTTTTTGAAGTCGTTTTTTTTTTAATTTTTAATTTCTAATACTTGTTGCACAAACCATTCTCCAACCGTCTATATTTGGATATAGGTGGATATTAAATACTTAGGTTTTATGATAGATAACACTTTGAATTTAAAGCAACATTTAATTATATTTGTAAAAAAGAAAACAAAAAATTATTTTTTTGCTTAGTTTCTAATACACTTATTATACAGGGTGTTAAAAAAAAGTGTCACAAAATAAAACGGGGGGTAGTATGGGCCAAAATATGTCCGCAAATGAATGGTTTCAGAGATACGGAGTGTTTTGTATCATTTTTTGATTATCTTTTTTCATTCTCAAAAACTTGCTTTTCTTATCGGAGTCTACCGATGTTTTTTCATAGATACTATTTGCAGTTATTATTTTGTTGTGGGTGAATAATTTTATAAATTTTCGTTATGCCTGTTTACACTAATATTGAATTAGCTGACATGCATTTTATGTACGGTCGTGCAAATGGCAATGCGAGGGAAGCGCTACGTCAGTATTTGAACATCTCATTTAACTCTATGTTGTTATTGATTGTTTATAAATATCATTGTTTTTTTATAATAATAAAAAATTGTTATAAACACAAAATGGTCCGTATCTCCGAAACCGTTAATTTAATAATATAATAATAATACTCTCCCTAATTCACCCCCTTACGAGTGAATTTTAACCCCAAAAGCTGAGCTTGTCCGGGGAAAGGGACGGCTATTATTATTATTTGCCGTGGCGCTCCGGGGCGACTTAAAGATGATTGATGGTGCCATTTGACTTACAGGTGAGGAAAACCCGAAAAACCTCACCCACCATCATTTGCGGTGCATATATTTATTAAGACTTTTCTGCTTATTTTGGGTCATACTATTCACCATTTCATTTTGTGACACTTTTTTTTTAACACCCTGTATACACAATTATTCAACCACATTTTGATTATTGCTCTAGCTTATTGAATTTACTAGACTCCAACATTACTGGTACCCTTCAAAAACGTCATACCAGAGGAATGCAGATTATTCTAAAATGTAACAATAGATTACCAGTAAATTAAATGCTATCTACATTAGACTGGCTCTCAATTAGGGATAGACTTTTTATGTTGTCTATGTTATTTATTTTTAAGATCTTGACAGGGAATTCTCCCAAATATTTTGATAGGTTCATTACTTTTAATTATAAAGTCCTTAACTATCCCACAAGAAGTGCTGACAATTTTCATGTAACTAGAAGAAATTACAGATGTACTATGAACTTTGTTTTTCATAATGGTTAAAACTGCAAGTAACATACATCAAGCAATTTAAGAGATTGTTAATATAATTTATTAAGACTGAAAGAATGTGCTAAATTTATGTTTTTTAATGATTTTTAGTGTTATAGTTTATGTTGAATTGTTTTAAGTCTTAAAATTTATATATTTATTTTTAATAATTATGTTTGTACATTAGGATTACCTATTTGAATAAAGATTTTCAATATTTCAAAAATACCATACACTATATTTATAAACTGTACTTGACCAAATTACTAGACTGATTATCTCCTTGAATAACATTTGGGTTTATTACCGTAATGTACTGTATTACACTGTACAGGTTGTCTGATTAAGGGCTGTCAGCAGCTGTATATCAAATTATTTTCAAGAAATAATAATAATAAAAGCACTTTATTGGTTATGAATATTACAACCAAATGGCCATCGACCTAGGTTCTTCAGCAAGTACAATTTGTATACTATGAGGATTTACAAGCTATATGCGTAAGATGATTACGAATATTAAGATACTTAAAAAAAAACCAATATGTCACTAATTATTATTCATCTGCAAATTCGTTAAATATTTCTGTTATTGATCTCAC